ACAAAATGTATACGATCTATAAAAGTGACAAAATTATGATAAATATATAGCATTACGAGTCTCCTTATAAACGAGAAAAAATTTCTAACATTATGTTGATAAATCAAAGTTAAAAATATGTTCCAAAGGATTTCTAAATCAAATTGAATGAAATGTTGCTTTTGTTTCCTTATTTATGAATTATTCATATAATTCAATTTTGATACGTATATAATACAAAATTGCAACCATTGCATACATAACATATAGTGCAAAAATATTTTGGCAACAATTTTACTGCTAGAAAAACAGTAGTTTTTGTTATTCAAATTTATATTTGAGTAGAAATCAAGTCAATTTGATATAAATAACTGTGGAATCGCAATCGAGAAAATAAACTAGATATATTTTATAATCTGACGATGAGCCATTTATTTTGGAAGTTGTGTTTGAAATAACTGAACAAAATGTATGTATATTGTCATCTTTTTTTAAGAATTTATATATTATTGAATTTATTTTTTATTGTTCAAAAATAGTGATAATCCATAATTTAATTCCCATTTCACAAAATTGGCAAAAGGAGCTGAATATTATACTTCTTGAATTCACGTTAATCTGCGAAAATTAAATTAAAATAATTATATATCAATTCGCGTTTTTTTTTTAAATGTTATTTTTCAACGTACAACTTATATTTTGCTTGTAAAATAAGCGCGTAACTTTGTGAATATTGAGAAATAAACACTTTTATAAAATTATAAGCAAGTTGCTAATATGTATATTATTAGCATCTTTGGAGCACGCTTGCACATGCAGTCTTAGCGATTACTTTTTATTAATGAATAAATATTATTTAAGATTTAAAAATCTGACTTCTCGTAGTTGCAAAAGAAATCCTGCCCATAAGGAATTAAAATGAGATCATAGTATACACAGTAAAGAAAAATAGCCAGGTACTTTGCAAAATTTTTCTATAGATTCTACTAGACCGATGGTCAAATACAGCAATTAACGAGTCAGGATCATAGGAGTGGTAGTAAAGCGAAGAAAAAAAATTAAAACAACAAAATAAATATATGTATTGTTATTTTTAACATACGCCACATGCTGATCGCGCTCTGCACAGACCAAGCGAAACAGAAAAGAAAATATATAAGTATACTCAACGATATATATACGCCGACGCGATCTCCGCGATTTCTTTTCGCCGGCCACTTGAAATAAAAAAATGGTCAGCGATTAAACAAAAAAAAAAGAACTAAACAAATTATGGATAATTACGAGTAAATTGCGGAGCGGCGTTACACGTGACGACAGAAGATGAATACTATCGCGCACGCAGACATTCATATTATTATGTATACATTCGCGTACGTTTACAGAAATACATACACAAAAGTACATTTAATGCCCGAACATAAGTACGCGTGTGTACTTTTATACGTACACACGCGCGCACATAAAAAGCTGTCGCAATGCGCACGTGGGGTACCATAGCAATAACTCACGATAATTTTCTGTTCACGATTGTTATTCGATTATCGAGAATTAAATGATTTTAATTAAAAGAATGGGATTAATCGCGCGCCTTTCGGAGCTATATTTCAATGATTTTCATTTTAAGTTACATACTTTATAATAAATGAAAAAGAATATTTACTTGGAGCAAAAATACTTCTCTGTCGCGTAACTTAAAATATACTATATAGTTAATAATAAAATAATTACATTATAAATTCTTGCTTTGGATTAAATTACATTTTACATGCGCATAAGTACTTCTTTAATTGCACAATTGTTTAAGTACTGACTACCGCAATAATTGCAATATCTAAAGACAGAGTTGAGTGCTGAAAGCAAATATGGTGATATTAACGGAATTTCGATGTTCCGTATTGACACATATTATTGTAATATTTGCTATTATTTTAAATTTCAAATTTTAATTAAGTAGCTTAGCATTTCAATTTTAAAGTAATAGTTTTTATTTTAACTCTATTATTTATTTTTTTTCAAATTTGCATTGAATTGGACAAGCGAATCATTGTTTCGATAACTCCGATCGCGAAGTATCCCATCTTTTAATTAAAAAAAAAAAAAAAAAAATAATACATACATTTATATCCCAGGAGAGAAACGCGGTAAACGAACAAATTAAAGAAAAAAGAACGAATTAGATTTTAAGCGTATAAGAGAACAAAAATAAAGAAGCATAACAAATTATTAATGACGCAAAGACAGTATACTCAACAGTATAACAGTAGTCTTACGAGATAATCATTCAAACATTTAAAAACAAAAATCTATTCAACAGATTTAGATTGCGGTTGTAGAAATAGTAATTTAAATAAACGGCCGTGCCATTGATGGTCAAACAGAATCACCGAATTGATCGGTTCGCATGCAAAAGAGAAACGGAAAAAGAAACTTATATTATTAATTATATGACAAATTTATTTATAATAAAATATATTATAAATACAAATATATAATTGTATATAAAAATTCCGTATTTTTCTGTTGAAGTATCTTTCTTTATTACTTTGTTTTGTTTGTATTAAGCAGTTTGTATCCAATCTTTGAATAATGTGCAAATAAACATAAAAAATGATTTAATTAATATTATAAATACATTATTCCGTGCTCTTATAACATGTATACATGTAAGATGTATGTATACATTATTTAGAAACGAAACCGTTCCAATAAGTGATTCTGATTTGACCATTTATTAATCGCACAGATATGCGACTTGTGTTTTTATAGCGAATAAAATCATTCGTATACACATTAATGTCCTGTAGAAGTGGACATAAGAATATCTATGATCTGATTCTGATCCTAAATTGATAGTCGTCATTGCGGTACTAAATGAGCGAGCAATCGATCATAGTAACAGATAATCGCGATCGGTATCGCGTAAAGTGATCGTAATAATACATGTAAAACTAATAGAAATAATAGTCATATAATAGTGATAATAAATGCCAATAATGGAATATTACCATTATTGGCAGGAGGTTACTATAGTAATATAAACATATAATACTAATAAAGTAATAATAATCGTAGAGGGAGTAATAATAATTCTATTACATTAATCAATAGCAACAGATATAACTAGCAAAAGTGTGAATATAGTATATAATAATAATAGTAAATAAAGTACTAATAATAGCCATAATAAACGTAGGAGCATTAACAATAGTATCAATGCACGTGCTGGAGGACGATAATGAAAATGAACATAGTGAGAATACATGAACATAGAAGCAATTTTCCATTTGTTAACGATATTTGTGACTAGGTTCTATTTGTATGTACGCACAAAACTAATGTGTACGCGTGCTCTTTTTTATTGTTAATTAATTGATTTAATGTGTGATCAGAAAATGTTGATTATCCACGCATATAGCCTATGTTGACTACAAGATTATTTACTTTTTAAATATTTTTTTATCAAATTTATTTATATGGTTGTTGTATTTATATGATTATATTGTATCTGTTTGTATAAGCAAAAAGATTATTGTTAAACAGATAATTTTTAATTTAACTTTTGCTGGTTGATTTATTAGATAATTTCGATTTTACAAAATCTGCAAAATTTAAATAAATATATATTTTACAGACAGTTTTTATTTTTGCGTGGATACTCAACACTATTCAAATTAGTTGTCAACGTAAGTACATCAATTAATTAATAGACACATCTTTGGTTTTCATACGGAGCACAATGTGTTATCTGCTTGTCAAAGACAATCGCAATTATCGAATAAAAATCATACGCATAAATTTTCTCTGCAATAACGCCGGTTACTCCGTTTATTTGGTCTGACGCACGCGTGTGCATGTTAATGTTCTTGACGACAAAACAAAACTGCATACATTTAATTGTGAATGACAATTAATAGTATTATGGACAAAGTTAGTTTTTATTTCGTCTTTCAAGTATATTCCAAAGAGAAACTCATTGTTTTATTTAAATTTGTTATTGATATTTTCAAAATGTAAACAATACATTTTTTTTGTAATTACATTATAATGAGCGTCAATTTTCATTATTTTAAATGAAAATATATTCTATGATTTGATTGCAAGTAAAACCATTTGATTGGTTTACTTAAAATATTTGAAAGAAACGTAAAAATATGATGGAATATAACAGACTATAATCTGTATTATTATTTTAAAAAAGAAACAAAAATTATATTGCCATTTAGTAATTAAATGTACGTAGAATTTGCTTTGCTCAATATAAACAAGGTTGCGCGAGAAAAAACGCAAATTTTTTTAGAAAAATATGATTTAGAAAAATATGTATTTTGTCAAAATTTGAAGTATGGATAATAATTAGATAAGAAAGATTATGTGACACGATTATTAGAAAAAGTAGTATGGAGATGACTCCAGAAACGTCGAAAAGAAGCTACGCAAAATTCTGTCGCTTAAATAGTATAGCAAGGGAAATCCTAATAAAAATAGTTTTATCGGTTTTTAATAATTTTGATAATTACGGGAAACGTAAGAAACGAATTGAGAATATTGTTTCAATCGACATAAAGGGTTATAATTTATAAAAAATAAAAAAGTCCAAACAACATATTTTTCTCTCTTTAAAAGGCAAAGAAAAGTATGGAAAATCATGATATTTTTTAGTTGACTTTTATATATTTTTTGAATATTTTCTATTGTTTGGAATGTGTATTATATTGTGTAATGTAATTAAGTACCTAGCATCTCGTGAATGTTATTATGTCAGTAATACCTTTAAATATTAATAAAGTCCAAATATTCTAAGTCAGCATTTCTTCCAAGGGCTGAACATTTTTATAATTTGATATTATTTCAAAAGAAAAATTAATTAAAATTAATTAATTAAAATAAAACATTATCGTAAAAAGATTAAAGTATATTTTATAAAACGAAAAGCTTCGTTATAGATGTATGTGTATACCATTTCTCGTAACGTATATAAGATTTAAATAAACTGAGAATAATAATTTTAAAGTTTGGAATTATATACAAAATAGAAATATTATTTTGTATTAAAATTTAAGATTCTACAATATGATGATTTCCTATTAAATAACGTGATTCACTTATGCGATCGACTTTAAGATGTTTCACATTTTCATATTAAATTAACATTCACGAAGGCGTTCACACATCCAGACTAGAGCACTTAGAATTACTTATTTTTAATCACTAACCCTGTGTATATCCTTGCACGACGGTTTTGATTTATTCGAATACAATTATCGCACGGCTTCGTCATGCAACCGACTTTCGCGTTGGTCATCCCGAGCTGAAAATATTTATAATAATCGTTCCATGATTTGTTACGTAATTTCGAAAACACTCACGCGACATTTGAAATTTCGTCACTTGCATTTTATTTGCATTTAAAAGCAAAAATGTCCAAATATCTATTTTGCTTGAATCAAAGTTAACTGTAATCTCACACGTAAAAGAGGATATTGTTAATTTGTAATTATCTGAGGTCCTTATATAAAGCGGTTCGATAATCGACAGAATTTTGATCCCCCAAAACGCAACAATTTTTTTTATTTATTTCCAAGAAGCAAATTTATATTCGGCGTCACGAATGATTTATTTCAAAATATCTTGCGCGTTGATGCAAACCTACTCGAGTAAATCTATTTTTCTTTTTTTGAATGCGTGTTTCACAATTATACACAATAACTCTGATTCTCTGATTTCGCATTTTGTGTTGCGAAATCGAAGATTTTTAACTCGAGTCGATCCAAGCAGCTTGTCCACAGGATCGGTCCCGTATCCAGCTTTTGTTTCGCGAAGAGCTAAGACTATAATTGCATAAAGCGTGCAACTCGTGAACCCGACGAAGAAGACGATGCAAGTGCGCAAGTCGGGAAACTCGTCCGACGTTAAAACTCGTTAAAAATTTCTCGCATCTCGTGTACTTGTCTCTACGTTCGCGAAGCGTTTCCAGTGGCGGCATAAAATTGGATGCGCGCAATTAACGCGTGACACTTGATGTGTTAGCTTCTGAGCGATCCGGCCCAGCTTCAATTTTTGAGACCCCCCAAATTTTTGAGGTCCCAAATTATCCGGTCCCCTATATACGATACAATCTTATCACAAAAGGTCATTACTACAAAATGTCTCTTACATTCATTTCTTCGCTACCTATCGATTTTTTGTTTCTTTCTTTGTATCCGTTTTCGTTTTTGGTATATTTGCACGATTTTTTTTTTTAAATCTAAGAAATCGCACGTGCGTCGGTTCCGCACGATCATCGTTCGTCCTTTCCATATATTTTCCAGCCTCCGTCTCTCTCGCGCTTTTTTTTCCATACACACACATTATTCTCGCCTACACACGCCCAATTCGCCGTGACGCATATATGTGTGTGTGTATGTATATTTATATATATATATATATATATAATATATATTATATAAACAGACGCTGCGAAAAGCGCTGACAGCGATCTCGACAATAGAGCCGATAAAAATAGTTCTCAGTCAATAATCCGATTTATGAACATGTATGTATATGTATAGTTATGTATAAGAAATTTTCTCTCTTGCGCGCGCGGCTCGTTCCTCTTCCTTCTGACCCCTTTTTTGTTGTAAGACGAAGAGAAACGTCCGCGCGTTCACCGCTAGTCAGCCACGAAGAATTCTCGACACACACGCACATATCACATACACACGTACACATATATGTGTATGTACATATATGTATAATATATTTATATATCTGTATATATATACAGGGAGGGTTGTGGACAGACAATTAACGTGGTGCGCGTTAGCTTCGTTCGAGGAATCCAGCTCGATCGGTTGGTAATCCTCATCCACTTTTTCCACGTTCCACTTTCTTGGCCCTCTTCGTCGTGTTCTTCTGCGCAATTTCTCTCGCCCGTCATTTTTTTTCGTATGCATATCGTCCAGCATCGTGATTTCTCCCCTGCGAGTCCGACGAGTTCGCAATCGAGAAGATATACGAGGCGCAACTTTCGAGACGATCGTCGCCGATCCTCTCGGCATCGATATCGCAAAATGTGAGCGATGTTGTGCACCTTTGTGGACAGGTGGTTTATAAGCGCGCGAAAGTTCGTGGGGATGAGATGAGAAGAGAGAAGAGGTCGATCGGGCGGAGGATCTTTTACGGCGAAAGTGAGAGCGCGTTTGAGCGGGTGTTGTTCTTTATACAGGCACCGATAGACACAGATAGACTGATCGAGAGACTGACCGGGGAATCGTGATTGATCAATCGACCGATCAAGCGAACGATCGATACCGATTTGACTGACTGAGACTGACATGGCACGGCGACTCCGATCGAGAGTACACGGTCACAACGTCACAGGCCACCTGCTGGCACACAAACAAACACACGGACATGTTAGTCACCACCACACACCAGATATAAAGATTTATCCCTGGGCAAACACGCGCGGTGATGGTTTTTTTTTTTTTTCGAAGACTCCGCTAGATCTAATAATTCTGTGCCCAATTGTCTCTGCAGACGCTCAATCTTGAATCGATCATACTGGTTGTCATCAGACACGATGTCATTAATTTTTCATGAAGACTTAGGGAGAGATCAATCAATATGTGTTATCAGAAAATTAAATATTTTTCTATATTGGCAGTGTTGAAAAATAAAAATTGATCAAATTATTTCGAAATGTTGACTTATTGAGTTAATCCTCTAATAAGGCAATATCTCGAGAGTTGTAGGGTCTGATAAAAAATTGCGCACATAATATAATGTATATACAGAGTCACTTTAAACTGTTAAAGTATTACATCGAAAGATTAAACTCGATCTTCGCAGAGCCTTCAAACCAACACCGTGCATCGTGTACACAGGTAATTTGCCGAGTCGTTCTTTTCAGACATAAGCAACGAGCGTCCACTTTGCTCAGCTTGACAGACAGTCACAAGGAAAAAAAGAAACAAAGTGTTTGACAGCGCATCGATGGAAACTCGTTGCTGATGCAACGCGATCGGTGGAATTCGCCGGCGGTTTCCGAATTCAGATTGCATGCAAATAACAGCAATATTCCTCCGAATTACACGTAATATGCCGAATGATCGTTTCATAGTTGAAAGCTATATTCGTCCTCGATTGTCTCGAGCGAAAATTGCGATAACGGTAGAACAATGATAAGTAGCGGATTCTTCTTGAATGTATAAATTACGGAAACGATCGGCTTATATTCCCACCGCTTCTTACGATCGGCTTTACATTTCTCCCCCCTCCCCCCAAAAAAATCACATGGCAATGTTAGTACTACTAACTAATAAAGCGTCGTAGCGTGATTATAACCATTAAAAAATTTAGTGATATTATTATCACGTGATAGAACGTAACCAATTTTTGTGCGCCTCGAACACTGAACGAAGGATACACGCGATATAATAGCTGACACAATTATATAATGAGTGAGGTAGATCCTTGTGTGTATCGCTCGTATACTGTCGGTTCAACTGCTGGCTTAAACTACGTGGTTATTGAGATAGAGAGCTAGATAGAGACAAAAAAAGAGATAGAAAGATATGAATTACAAAAATACAGGAAGAAAAAAAAAAAAGAAAGAGAGAGAGAGAGAAAAGTCAAATCGTCAAATGGTTACAAGGTACGACTCGTGAAACGCTGCGTGAAAATTCAAAGCGAACTACTCTTACTCTCCTGGGGGGGGAAAAGCTACGTTGTTAGTGAACTTCACGTACGTAATTCCACTTTGTGCAACAGTAAGTTAGCACAGAAAGCTTTACTGGCAGCCTTTTGCAACGAGATGTTTGATTGCGTCACCGGGGAAACGTGCCGCCAGGTTTGCATCTTCGAGATTCGAAGAGACGACCATGTTTTCGACACCGTGTGATAAATACGGGCGAATATGACGATTTCAAAGAATCCGATATTTTATTACCGCGTATTTTGCGATAAACGTGAATATTCGATTTTCAATTTTGCTCGCGTTTATATTAAAAAATACTTTTGTTCGCGTGTGCTAAACGTTTTACTTCGTAAATAAACTGAATTCAAGAATGAATGAGCATGTTTAACGATAAATATGCACGCTATATCAAAGTTCTGACGAACGTAACAAAATTTAACTCGAAAATCGAGTTGAGTTGAAATTCGAAAAGCTTTTATTCATCTCGCGTGAAAAAATCTCTTTAGAAATATTAAACATTAGAGCCATTTATTTTGAAAGCTACTATATGGATTGTCAAGACAAAAATCGAATTAAGAGATCTATTTAAAATGGATATATTCATTATACAGACGATCACATTATGAAGCCTTTACATGCAAATTTTTTTATCTTTTATGAAAGCAAAATGAGGTATTTTTCATAACTCTTGCATGCAAATTCCCTTATGTGTTTAAGAGAATATGTAGCAAACATGACATATACTCTCAATATACTCATATGTGTTAATATCTCTTAAAATTTAATATGCAAAGTTACTTTCGATATAAACGGCTCATTTAGTTTCTAAATAGATCGCGCATTGTCTAGATTTTAATAATACTTCATAATTATATATCGTATTCACTAGATCTGTTAGGAATATCGGTGTCATATCATAGTGTCTGAAATCAGTCATTATACGAAATCAAGTTGCCCGAAATAATAATATTAAACTTATATTCGTTAATCCTATCCTATTTTCCATAAAATTACTGGAATGGATTGTCGAAGAAAGTAGGATTTTTATATTTAAAATTCTGAGTACTGAAAGGAGATTGAGACGAATGTAACCACGATATAAAATCGCGACGGATATGGACAGAATAGACAGATTGTTGGACTGAAAAATGTACTGAGAATTCACATATGGGCGGTAGGTAGAAGAGAAAGAGAAGACAATTTCGCGGGAGGGACAAGTTCGCACAAGCGACACGTTAAAAACGATAAATTATTACGTTCCTGAACGTCGGAAGAAAAGTCAATCCGATGAACAAGAGAGTCTTCTGGATTATCACAGCCTCGTTTCGATAGGACGACGAAGGTGTCGCGAGGCGACGTTTCCTCTTCAGCGTCCGAGGACGCTAGATTTGTAGCTCGTTATAGCTCGCTACCTTCGTGAAAAATACTGCTTGACTAGAGAACATCGTGGAACATCCTGCCACCTGATATTTTTCGTTTGTCTACCTAAACCTATCTCGTTAGATTAGACGCGGCAATCCCGCTGCAGAATAATGATTAATTATCGCGGTTATAAATTAAAACGCGCGAGCGTCGTCCCGATTAAGGACGCCGTCGAGCCGAGATGTCCGAGAAGTCCTTGGTATCTACCTACGAACGCTCTGTGACGTCGGCTAGTACGGCTTAGAGGCGTCCTTGGACCGTTTTAACTGGACCTTCAGCCGCTTCATGCCAATCTGGAAACCATGCATCGTCTGGATCGCCACTTGCGCGCTCGCCGCATTATCATACGATACGAAACCTGAAACAACGTCGTAAAGTGTAGAATTTATGATTCGCGGAGATTCGAACTAGGAATGAAATTGATCTTTATATTTTGTCTCCTCGGATGAAAGGTCTAGTTTTTTTTTTTTTTTAAATTATGTAATTTAAATGCAATATTTCTTACTCCGGAAATTACTTTAGTTCAAAACTCTGAATAGGTAGTCGCAGATACTCGTTACAAAAGCTATCCTTATATTTAAACATTCGTATCTTATTCCTTCACCCGTATTAATTCAACTTACCGAAGCATTTGCTCATGTGCGTGTGCTTATCTATGAAAACTTTGGCGGATATGACGTTGCCGAAGGGCAAGAAGGTGGAGATGAGATCCGTGTCGCTGAATTCCTGTGGCAGGTGGTAGATAAAGAGGTTGCAACCTTCGGGACCCTCGATCTGCTTGTCCGTGTTAGTGAACTTCGTCTTCTGCGTTGCCGCCGCCGCAGCGGCCGCAGCTGCCGTGAACGCGGGAAACCCTGAAATCCGAACACGTTGATGATGATGCTTGTATTTTTTCAAAATTACATAAAACGATTTTCTCTCATAAATCTCGTTGAAGCAAATTAATATTTAATTTTATCCTTGTAGCTCAATATATAATATTATGAATTGATTTCTCTAAACTTGAACTACTTTCTGATAAAACAATTCGATTATCAATATACTGAAAGAAATTATTAAATTAATAAATATTATTTCAATACTGCCTATAATAAATTATTTATTTGAAACAAATAAATATTTGTTTTTATTTTGAAAAGGATTTTCTTATATCAAATAAATATTTTTCACATCAAATCAATATTATTAGTTTTAAATAAATGATTTATTTGGTAGTAATGAAATAAATACTTATTCGAATTCAATAAATTTTTTTCTCAGTGTATATAAATTTACGCATCGACTTAACATATCCCAGCTTACGAAACATATCAAACGAAAAGAGACTCTACTGATTAAAATATTATTATTTTATTAATTTTAATTTTGCTCCAATTTATTCCAAAAAATGACCATGAGCAAATTAACATGTGTGATAATGAAGAATAGAATGAGAAATGATCACATATTAATTCAATTTTGAAATTAAATCACATATTGTATATACGTGATACTGTGAGAAGATATAATGAAATTTTATAAGCTTTTAAATTGCAAAAATGATATTGTGAAATATATTTTTATTTATTTCATTTTCACGAATGTATCTTGTACTCTGGGATACGTGGATTATTCAATAGATACATGCAAACCTATTGATCGTCTTCTTTCAAACATTCATTTGGTTCACTTCCATATTCCTATGCTACAGGTATCTCGATTCTTTCAACTAATTGCTTTAATTGCAGTTTAATTGATCAATTTTAATCTATCTTGCATTCGCATCAGTTTCATAGAAATGTTCTATAAGTACGATTTTAAATTAGACGCTTTTACATGCACATCAATATAAAGAACAATTAAAATTGAAATTAAAAGATTAATAAAGATAAATATAATATTAAATGCGCGAATAGAAATAAGATTTTTAAGATTTTTATTTAAGAAGTTAATTTTATTTTTGCTATCATATATATATATATATATATATATATATATGAGGCATTAATTGATATATTTTTTTAATATAATTTTTTTATAATACTTATAATGTCAATCAAATTCTTATAATTGTGGTCTAGCAGCAATTAGTCATATCATGAACGTGTATTAACTCGAAAGTCAACCATATGAATTAACTTGCTATAAACAATTTACAAAAATATATATATATATATATATATATTTAGGTAATCTACTCATTATTACTCACTATGCAATTCTTTCTTTTCCACCGTCACCGTCGTCTTTCCAATGAGAGCTTTAATACGCACAGTTCACTCATTAGAAAGTAGTACGTTTATACGGATACAAAAAAGCAGTTTAAACTGCGTTTAGCGATTTTCTGCATATATCGAAAGTGGCTTAATGAGCCAAACAATTACCTGCATATTGTTGCAAACTGGAATAAGCGTTACTCAGCGAGTCTTGAAGTCCGTTTAGTGGCGTCCCCGTCAAAGAGTTGAGCGTGAGAGATGTTACAGGACTTAGACTACCCCCGGTAGACCCTTCAAGATAAACATCATGATCATGTTATTTTTTATTGATCCCTAAGTGCAAATTTCGACGATACCCAAGCCTAATTAATTCCATGGCATGCCTCACATGCTACGACGTCGCGAAAACGTCAATCGCCATGGCTCTGACTTTGTTATCACGATTAGAGGCAGAAAGCATCTTATGCAATACGATAAACGAATTTTATAAAATAGTCTACTACTAGATTATTAGATAGCTACTCGATAATTTTTTCAAGAAAGATACGAGGAGGTTAATTGAAAGAGTTTCACGGTATATAGCGTGATATATTTCTTATGACTTTTTCCTTTTTCCGATTGTATCCATTATTCTAATCCGGAGCTTATAATTTGAAATTGACAAATCAAATTTTAAATCGATCAAGTAATCTTAAATCTTAATGTTATCTTAATGTGAATATTAAATAAAATTAAAATAGTTATAAATAATGTTGGAAAAATATATTTTTTGAAGACATTTAAGAGTAAGAAATATATAAAAAAATATTCTTTCTCTCTTTCTTTCTCTTTTATAAGAAAAAATTTAAACTGGGCATACATAAGAATAAATTATAAAAGTTGCAATATGGATATAAAATATTATGCTTGATAGAAAAGCTAATATTTTTAAATAATTAAAATTTTAGAGTCTAAGGTATCGTCTTTCTCCTTGATGTTAACAAAAAATTCGTTAAACATCACAATATACTTGATAATAATAATAATTTAGAAATAAAATATAAAATATAAATTACTATACACGAATCATTATTATATATGGTAAAAATATCTCGGGGATTAATTGCGGATGAAAAGTAAGCGTTTTACGAAAAGTTCTACTTTTTTTATTATGCATAAACGTCACTGCCAATTAAGTTCTTATTACGAAAAATCGTCCACCCGTTAATTGCGATAAGCGTTTGTGCGAGAATCATATATTCCTCCAATACATCTCAAATATACATATATACAAGTATTTAGTCCGATATATACATATTGTTAAAACAACAATTTTACGATTGATAAAGGATAAAAGTATTTAGGTTCCTAAAAGCTCCAACCGGGTCTCGCCAATTAATGTATTAATTCAGTGTCCGAGAGTTTTCACAATAATTCAGCGCGCAAAATATCAATCATTTACTAATTGGCCTTTTATTTACACATTGTGAATAAAATATACATACAAAATGTCATAAACCTCTCTGTTATTCTCTCTACAATCTTTTAATTTATAAAATCCATCACTTAACTTGAAATTAAGTTTTCTTAATAACTTTGATTAAATATATTAACTTTTTTTATTGTCATTTAATGTTTCATGTTAAATATCTTCCTGACTTATACCTAAATTAAAATTTTATTAAAAATGAAGTTAATTTAAACTTGAGAAAAAAAATAAAGTTTTATTACTGAGCTTTATTTTTATTAAATTTCTAATTCAAATAAAAAGTCCATAAATTTACAATTTCAATTTAATCGAAAATTGCTTTAATGCTTCGATATTTTAAATTAAGTAAATAAAAACATATCTGAAATATTTTTGAAATTGTTTGATTTTTACAAGTGACTACAAGTTATATACAAAACAAAATTTAGCGTTGATAACAGGGGAGACCCGTTTGATTAATTAAATCTGCAGTCAACAATAATTATCAATCTTTCATTTATACAAAATATACAAGAGACAATAATAAAAAAAAAATATACAAGAATGACAGAAGAGAAATGACGAGATAAGGATTTGAGAGGAAACTAAATAGTGTTGAAGTACGATAAAAATTCAGCCAAACAATTTTTCTTCCTATATGAATGTCTCACCTGTATTTCCTGTTTTTCCCAGAAGGGCAGCTATGCACGAAAAAAAATACGCAGCGTTAAGATTGCGATGTATATTCACATAAAAGAAAACGAAAATAATAAAATATGATGTAATCATTTGTTACATGACATATTTAGTACGGTATAAAAATAATGGAACATTCCCGTCTGCAGTTTAATTCCATTGTATTCAAATTTACATAATAACATAAATGTAAAAGCGTCACAGTTAATTAGACAACAAGTATAATTCTTGTGAAAGACTATTTTCCACTATTATCTCTATTATGTTCTTATGTAAATTTATGATGTTTATATTTCGTAAATCTTTTTCATAATTATACATATCAATTTATTTTTATTTAATAAATTTATACTCAATAATTAATTATTATAAAAATTTGAGATTTTATGATAAAAAATAAAAAATCGCGTCAATCATTAGAAAATCATTCATCCTGTTAATAATCAGGAAAAATTGTGGCAGATAAAATGATTAAATTATCAGAAATATTTATGGAAAAGAATTAAAATGAATTCTCAATGTCTGAACAAAAATGTCTAATTTTCGATCGTAATTACGGTTACTAATTATGTAATTGATTGTATTGAAATGGTTGGTTTGATATCTCGCATTCGAGTAATAATCTCTTAATATACAGTGTACAAAATCGCGTAAGGGAATATCTGGGTCCATCATGAAAATTGAAATGTAGGTAGAAACAGAGGAATGTGTGAGGGAACTCGGAAGAAGGAAGAGGGAAAATGCGTGCACACGCGTGCACGCGGACTATTAAATAAGCGAAATGGGGAAATTAGACCGTCAACAGGATTAAGGCCCCTTTTGCATGATTGAAATTAATTTAGTAATTGTTAATACTGTACCAGGCAATGCGACACGTACATAGCGACATACCTGCTGTCGAATTTGCCAGGCCGGTTAATGCTGAAACACAAAACACGGTATTAACAAACAGAGTCAGTAATATGTATATGGTATTTTCGCGAAATGAAACTTTGGCGGGATTTTCCGGGTAACGCTGCCAATATTATGTTTTTAATCGCGATTGGGAAATTACAGAGTCAACAGTATACGTTCACTTGTGTCATTAAATTAATACAAGTCAAATTTGCGAGGCTAGTTTGTAAAAATTATTTATCTTTCTTTTTCACGTTGTTACATCACTACGTCTGTTATAGACAACCTGTTCAACATCCGCTAATTGAAAAGAATTATACAGTAAAATATTTTAAAAAATTATTTTATATTTAAAGTTCTTAAATATAATTTATATATATGTATATATATATATATCTCCACATATATTTTTCAGTATTTATTATATAATTCAATATAAAGTCTTTTTCCTTGTTTTAAAATTAAGCTTTTTATATTTATTTTAATATTGAGGTATTTTATTTATTTCAAAATGTATCTTTCCAGATAATTTATATTTTACACATAGAGAATAATTATTGTATATTAATTGAATTGTTATATATATATAATAATAATTTCAAGAATAATTATAAAATCACATCATGTATTAATATGACGACCTGCTAATTTTATAAAACTCAACTGTTCATTATAAAAATCTTTAAAAAATTTGTTTTTATATGCAAATAGTATTTCCACAATTTCTTACGTCTAAAAACCCCAATGAAGCAACCTGCATACTTGACTTACTTTTCTGTTGACTTTACATAAATTATACGAGAAACGTATGTGGACACGTGAAGTACAATAATAAAGGTGCGTTAGTTTGCTTTGCTCATACTGATGAAAGCCGGTAAAAGAAATAATTATGCAATTAATTACAAAAATATACATCTTACCTGCAGACTTTATACATTTACACAGTTCAAGCACATACAATATAAAGAAGATATAAATCACTAGAAATTTTGATATGCAATTTACTTAGTATATTTTTAGTGATGAATTATTTCCATGATTATTAATTTTAACTTTAACTGAGACTCAATCATCAAATTCGTTCAATGAAAGAAATAACTATAATAAATTATTTAACTGCGCATAACGTAATAATAAAAATAATGATCTTAATAAAAATTATACACAAAAATTGTATTTTGCATGTGATATTACGCATGGAGCTTTTATTCTTCTCGTTCGGGTCTCATTGTCAGTGCGAATAATGACGAGGCTATAGAATGTGTAATTGTATATCACCACCAGGGCGTAAAATATTTCGGCAATAAATTATCCACAACAAAGTATTCGGCCTTGTTGTCATCCATACAAACTTGAACAAGAAAATAGGGATGATGTGAGACGCTCCATCGACTTTTCGATCATCTAAATATAAACGACTGAATCGGATCGCTCGTTTAGTTTTTGTGTGTTAGAATAACAAAGCGGAGGAAGAACGACTAATATATTACATATATTATATATAATATATCTTTTCCTTCCTCCGCTGATTACTAACAGACTAAACGCATTCCGATTTATCTCGCTTTACATTATATTTAAATTTAGACCATCGAAAAGTCGACGGAGTGTCTCGTATCCCTACTTTCGAGTGTTGGCGCGTGAATAATAAATAGAGCCACATGTCAACAAATTATGTCAACAAAGCGCGCTAGATGATATCAAGGCTGAATACTTTGTTACTGATAATTAGTTGAAATATTTTATGCCCCGATATATATAGTCTGCGCGACTACATTCCACAGCCTCGTCGTCATTCGCATAGTGAGACTCCAACGAGAAAGTAAAGGCTTCATATATTATTAGATTATTATACTGTAATATCATGCGAAACGCGATCCATTCCGTATTATTATAATTATTAGCAATTATCAACTCCCGCGATCGATTATTTTAAAATGCTTGTATATAATTTGATATTCCGCGTGTCATACAGGGTGTCCGATAATCGATTATTACCCTGTATATGTTTATTTTTAATTTGATGATTAAGTCTATAATATACTCTCTGCATTTTTCATGAGATAATCTACAAACGATACAAATTTTAGAAGTCAGTCGGGATTGATAAGAATGATAATTTATATTTATGATATATGCATATGCAAAATTATTCATAAAATTATTGTGGTATTAATTTTGTTAAAACAGAGAACGAAAATAGCTATAACATTATTCAATTAATTGAGTTAATTTGCGTATTCTATAGATAATATTATTTCCAAATTTAATATTTTTAGTACAACTTGCAAATATAAAGTAAAAATTGAACATCTATTGATAGAATATTTTTTTTCTTTCGATTGACTTCTAACACGCATCGTTTACAATTGTGCGTTACGTCTTGAAACATCTGGACTCCATTGTACCGTCGTACAATTAAAGTCTGGTTAATATACACTTTTCGAGGACGAGTATAGACACCCCGTCGCGTTATTACTGTCACCGTAATATCGCGACTTCGGCTCACTTTATCCATGCAATACCTACAAAAGCGTGGACAGTTTACCCGTTTGCCTGAAACTTCAACAACGCATGCGATCATTAAAGTCCGTCTACGCTCAAGCGAATTTACTGTCTAGCGCAAGTAACATACGTGATGCATAAGCATATGGGTGGTTTGTACAATTGATGGGAGAACGGGTATGTATAACGTATGGTCCGAAGTTACGCATGTAATTCGGAGCACCGGACAATTTCGCATGGAACTTACAGCTGCACGTTAACGTACGATAATGTGTTCTCCGATTATGTACCACGCGAAATATTCTCTACTCACTGTTTGGCGACACCTGGAGGTTGCCGTTTCCGCCGGTCATAGCTGCCAGAGTGACGAGGTTCTGCATACTCATCGGCGACACGCCCGCGTTCGCTGCAAAATAATGCATCAAAATTTATCGTAGAGAATCTCGATGTTAATCATCTAAAATCGCGATTTTTTTTAAATAACATATCTCTTTCTTAATAATAAGATAATTTAATAGCGATAATTAATTGACATGTTCTTAATGTGCTTCCAAAAAAAGTTCAGTAGACAAATTAGAAAAATGATTTTTCTAATTTGTCTAATGAACTTTTTTTGGAAGCGCATTAAAAACATGTCAATTAATTATCACTATTAAATTCGACTTTTCCGTAATTATAATTGAAGCTTCGAGCTTGACTGCATATCGAAAGTAGGCAACGCGTCATTTCGAACTTGATTCATGTATACATTCATTGCGTGAATTTATTGCGTGACTTTCGAATATCATCGAATGATCATACGTTCCGCAGCAATGAACGGTAAACACATATCTCAGAATAAAATAATGATAGACGCAGTTCTGGCATCCTTCCCGATCTCATAAAACGTAGAATTTTATTATTACGGAACAAGCTAAAGCAGGACATTTCATTGTAATTTTCGAAAAGATATGACTCATGGGACTCGATCGGCGAAAGTTAGAGAATATAAGAGGGAAATAATATAATTTATTCTGACACCGATATAATGAAAGAATATAAAATGCGTAAAAGAATAATTTGCAGGAAAGAAACGGATAAAATCTGATTTCTCTGACAAAAGCAGATCTATCGTATTCTATAGTGCTTTACGTCGGAACAATGGTGCACCTGACACATTTTTAAGCAAAAGAGGATTTACATCTCCCGAGAGGAATTATATATTTAAATTTGCTTGCAAGATTTACGTTCTTTAACTCGTTCGCAAAAATAGGACTCTCATAACTACTGAAAGGCATAAAGTGGTCAGAAAGTGACGTGACCAGTTAAACATGCACATTTGAAAAAAAGAGATAAATTTAAGAATCTTATATGTCAATTATTCTAATGTCAGAAACATGAAACAGCTGACGCAACTTGATATAAAATGCAAATGTGTGAAACGGATGTCTAACATGCATTTTGAACGTATTATAGGATTATGCATAATTGATTATAAAATATATAAATGTGTGTGTGTGTGTGTGTGTAAAAGAGATGGGAATGATAAATATACCATTGACTATTTTTAACTATCAATATACAATTTTACTTATTTGACAATAGAAAAAGATCTCTGTTGTGACTGTTGTTATCAAATATATTTACGATGTGATAACTTTTAATATTAATTTCAATATAGAAAGTTATCATATCTGTCGTCTCTATCTATGCTGCGCGTATTATACACACATTTATTATACGATACACACATTTTAATATATTGTTCAATAAAATTTAATAGAAAATAAATATTAGAATGTCAGCGCAATAAAGACAAAAATATTTTATTATATATATTGAAAAAATTAATAATAATCAAACGCAATTATCTTGAAAAGATCTTATTTGAATGATATCGTTAATTGCATCCAATTGCAAAAAGTGGCAACGTAATAAGTGCGAAAATAAGCGAAAATAAAAATAAATAACAACCAATCGACACTGACCATACTCACCAGCGGTGTTGCTCAGAGACGCGAGGGTGGCCAGACTTTGCAGATTCGCGGGGTTGATTTCCGCCGGACTGGGTACAGCAGGGGGTGCTGCGTGCGCAGGGGTTGCCGCTCCAAGACCAAGGTGTTGTTGTAACAGTAATTGATGTTGCACGTTCGACAATGCATTCGCCGCTCCCGCGTTTGCGGCGACTGGAGTCGCGGCGCTCGTTGTTGCCTGCAATTGTTGCAGCAATTGCAACGATGCAGGCGCCAATGTATGCGCGTCATTCTGCGAGCACAAGCGACATTTTTCATTACGATCATATTTTTATTAATATAAATCCTCTATAATATAGCTAGCACGGGTGCAACATTTTTATGCATGTTCTGATAATATTTTATCTTGATTTTATACTTGACTGGGAAGCTTTGACTAAATAGTCATCAGAAATCTAATTAATTTTTTATTAGAAATTTTTGATATCTTTAGATTCTTAATCCGGTTTCTTAGAAAATTTTCGTTAAGAAAAGATCGATTGCAAATTTATCAGAAAATACGCTTTTTCTTGTGAAGTTTTATGCAAATCTTATGAAACGTTTAATAAAAACAAAGGCTTTGGGACAGGTAGTCGCGTTGAACTGCATTGTACGCGTTCGAAGAATACAGCCCATGTTCTTCGAAAAAGTCTCAATTCTTTTTTTTCATATATTTTGCATAACAAAATTGAGGTCGCTGTGTAGAAAGTCTCAAAGGCTAGATAATGCATACGAGTGTAAGGCGCTCAAACGATAGAACCATGAAGAGTATTCTCGTTCTCGATGCAAATGGAATCTTTGATACCGGCCAAAGAGCTTTTATTATAAAATATTAAGCACACGTACGGCCAGGTAATGCGGCGTGATGTTGACTCCCGCGATATTCCAGAGATTCGACTGGAGTTGCTGCATCCTTTTCTGATCCTTTTCTTTTTGCGTGTCGGCGAATTTTACGACTAACGGCGACGAACAGCCCTGAAAATTGTATAACATTGATGCATAATAGTAAATGCAAAATGTAAGAAATGTTGATTGCTATCGAGATTAAGATCCGATATCTCGACATTTAAAATGCATATAAATTTGTTAAAAAATTTATAAAAAATATTTCCAATACTTGTTTTCTTATTTATACAAATATATTTTCTCATAAAATTTTTATATGATATAAAAAACATGAAAGTATAATTCGCAGTAACAAATGTTCGAGATATCGATTCTATAATAATTTCGTATAGCTTTTTGAAATATTATATTTATATTATTTAATAATTATTAAATATTAATAATTCGCATTAAATTTTCTTCATATTAGCTCTTTCTCAGTGCATACTGTGATTCAAAGATGAAAAGATATATATGTACCATAACATTTCCCTTCCACTTTCTGTTTGAAATTTAAGAAATATTCATATTTCGAGAACTGTGTCACCGCAATGTTACATTTTGCCTTGCTTTCTTAAATTCTTGAAAAAGTGTCTCTGCCATGGTTCGATACTCTTCTCATTAACTTCTAATTTCTATTGTACTTCGCTCCGAGTGTCGTTTTACTCTCGAATCCAAATCCCGTATCTCTCATCCGCCCGATGCATTATTGGTTCAAGTCCAAGTTCAACATTGGCGTGAGAACAAATTTGCTGGTGATCGGGCGTTACATTGGGGGAAAGAGGTACTCTTACGTTTGACGGTATTCGGGTTGGTACACGCAAAGCTCGAGGTCGATGCACTATATACAATACGCGTGCAATCGGGAATGCAAAATCGGCGTGCTGGTTACGCCGGTATATAGCGAGGAACGAGCAAGTTCGAGGAACTTACGGCCGGAAATATTCGTGATATTAAAGTAGAATTGCCCTCGTGCCCGCATGCCTTGGCACGGCTCGCTTTTACCATTCGAAATAGTACATTACATAGGCGTAGTAACTGTCACCAGGATGAATAATCCATTTTACAGAAATATTAGGTATATTTTAAATAATTGTCGATATCGTTAAACGTTTAACCGCATCACATTTTATTGTACCGAAACACAATTACATAATGATTGACATAATTGTAGGACAAGTAATACCTAAGACGTGAACAGAAAATGGAAAGAAAAATAAAATGTCTTTGTATGACAAGTAGAGCAAGTAGGCACAAAGAATTATTTTTTTACTTTAGAATTTCACAGAGTGAGATATATCATATGTTGTAGGCTTTTTTCGAAAAAATGTAGGTCATTCTATATAATTTATTAATTTTTCTGAAAGAAATTTTTCGCGTAAAATTACTCATCTGAAAAGAATACATTTTTCTATAAGACTATCATTTATTTTTCTATAAAACTATCATATCTCTGATGCACAATTCATTAATATTTTGCAATTTTATTATGCAAATAATGTGAAAGGGAGATTCGATAATAATTAACATTCATATGTCTCTATTTATCCTAATCTAGCATTTCCGGAAGATTAGGATGCTGAGGAGCACGGACGGTGAGAGACGGAAAAGTCCTAGCGTGCTTTGAATCGTTAAGGTGTCGGCCGGTTCGGTGCCATCTTTATTTGCTCGATTTTAGTTACCCCGAGTTAAATTGGTATATCACCGAGGTGACTAGCCGAGTTGTAGATGCACGCGGATGTTTCGTCGAGTAACAATGGCATCGAGCCAATACATCCGTCGGCTTGGCTGAATCGCCATGAAAAGAAATGAGCCGCGAACATTCAACGACTCACTTTGTGGCAGTCATCTATTAATTTCTTAACACTGTTTTGCTTAAAAAATCGGAATATTACTTCATTTTTTCTTGCAATGTAAATTTGAAAATAAATTACGTATTCTTATTGGGATTTGAATGGGACTTAAATTTGTGCATTATCTCGACAAGTAATATTCGTTGGCTAATTCTAATAAATACAAACGTAGATTCGATGGGATGGGAGGAACAAAATCATCATCGGATGATAGATCAATAAATGATATTTTAAAAAAGCAGAAATTAAAATAAATATAGTAGAAGCTATATTCTCGTAGAAATTAAATTATTCTTTTACATGTAATTTTTAGAAATAAAACGCAGATTAAAAAATCTCTCAACTAAGAAATTTAACAAGCCTAATAATAACAATATAACAGATACCAATAATACTAATACTAACACTAAATATTTTGTCATACCATATATAGAATCAATATCTGAGAAAGTTGCTTCAGCAATAAGAAGACCTGACGTAGTGGTAGGATATCGTTGCATTAAAAAATTGAATGACTTCATAAGAGTTCAAAAGGACAAAAATAATTGCCCCACGAATTCTAATGTTATTTATAAATTGAATTGCAACGATTGTGACGCCACATATGTCGGACAGACAAAAAGACAGTTAGGAACGAGACTTAAAGAACATAAAAATAATATTAAATTAGACTCTGCTAGACATTCGGTTGTCACAGAACACATTCTAAACGAACAACATACATTTGACTGGGACAATATTAAAATTATGGACCACGAAAAGAACTATCATAAAAGACTAATATCTGAAATGATCCACATTAAAGAACAGAAAAATGGAATTAATTTAAATACAGACACCGAATTGTTAGACAGTAGTTATTTTGACATACTTAAAAATTTGCTGAATCATAATTTAGAAAAAACATTGGTAATAAATAAATACATCACGCTCTCTATTTTGACATTTGGTATTCAGACTTCGCAACACACACTTGAAATATCGGGGAAAAGGACTTGTTAAAACGATAATGTAAGTTGAAAGATTTTTTAATTCTCTCTGACATTGATTTAATTCGCGTATTATATCCGTAGCATGCTCAAATGTCGCATAACTTGGCATCTCAGACCAATCGCCTTGCATATCTATTGGTCAACAGCGAAGAATCGTTTCAATTTTATATTTTAATATTTAACTAACTTTGTATTTTAACATTTAACTTTGTATTTTAATATTTAACTTTTATGTATTGATAAAGACTGTAGTGCAGTCGAAACGTTTACAATTTATATCGATTCTGTAACGGAATGTTAATTCAATTATTTAACTATTAATAAAAATTTTTACACCTTATTTATTTGCTCGTTCAGTTGGCCTACTATATATGATTTGTTTAATTGAATTACTTAATACTTACAAGGGACATGTCACAACTGTCCGGAACCGATTTGATTCTCCTTGAAATATGTTGTTAAATACACAAATCTAAAAGACACGTATTTTTTTATACGTGCGCAATTTGAGTTTTAAGGGGTGAAACACCCCTTTAAAGAATAACGGTATTTTTCTTTAGGATCAAATATCTGCTAAACTATAAGAGATATAAAGAAAAAACGTACAACAAATTTTAATGGCTTGAAGAGTACTTTAAAGTTATATGAACAAAAATTTTTTTTTTTTTTTTTTTTTTTAAAAAACCCTCACCACCTAATTTTTTTTTTCAAAATTAAAAATTTTGTTTTACCTAATTTAAAGCTTATTTTTTTCCAAATTCAACCATGTGTAATAAAGTTATGTTACGAAATATCATTTTCGAAAATTAATTATAAACGCTCCCGTATATACGCTCATCCGTGCTATGTGCGTAAGTAATTACCGTCGAACAATAAAATATATAAAAAATGTTTTTGTATAATTCTTATTTATGTTTTCTATGTATTTATAACTGCGTATTGTGTATATTTAGATTTAAAAAAAAATTTTTAAATATAATTAATAAGAATTTTTTAAATATACCCCCTGCTTTCTTATTATTTCTTTAATATTTAATTTCTATGTGCTACCGTAAAAATTAATGTTTTTGTATAACATATAATTAATAAGAATTTTAAATATTGCTTTCTTATTTATTTAATTTCTTCTATTATTTTATAATAAAATTATTTTTTTGAATCTTGCGAATACCAATGTCGCAATATTTGGCATAAACAAATTTTATATCTTACGTTAAATGAATCATAAGATAAGATTATGTGTACGTGTTCCAGATAAGTTATAATTTTTACAATAAAATCTTTAATACGTTAAAATAAATAATAAAATAAGATTATGTGATGACGTATTTCTGATAAGTTAATATAAATTGTTCATGTAGCAGCATAATTCTCACAGTCGGTGTAGTCTTTTCGTTGTAATAATATCTGTGTAAACTGTTCTTTTATTGCAATAGAAAGCAAAATATAACATCTTTGAATATGATTATCAATCCGCTTAACGTTGTTAGACTTTTATTGGTGTCAATAAATTCAATATATTTAACAGAAACGCCAGTAACTGAAGCAGAAGTGGAATTAAAGGAAAACATTAAAAAAATATTACTGGATAGCGTTTTTCATTATAATGGGGTGGAAGTAACGGAAGAAATATATCTCGATTATGAAGAACCTTATAAATTACATAGTTTTGAAATAATTGAAGATGACGAAGAAGCATGGCATGAAGATAGTTTAAATTCTCATCCTCATTGTTCAAATGATGATACAAATTTTGATAGTTCTTATAAAAGACGAGCTGTTGAGTATTGGCGATTTCGGGACACTGATGAAAACAGTAATGACAGAAAAAGGAATCGTCCTCTAAGAGTAGTACAAAATAAATTTAGAAGAGTTTCATCTGAACGTCAGTTAAGGCGATGGGAAGAACAAATACAATCAGGTGGAAGTCGTACAGAAAAATTATCTTACATCTCCAAATTTACACATGATAAATTTACTGCAGCTGTCGAATCAGGATTCATGGTTCATGATATTGATTTAAAAAGATGGGCTTTACAAGCTCAAGAAGAAATAGGAAATTTAAATCCTATATTTAAAGCATCTCACAGTTGGATAGCAAGATTTAAGAAGTCTCACCGAATTGTTTCAAGAAAAGTTACGAAGTTTGTCACTAGAAGAACATTAGAAGATTCTGCTGATTTGCAAAAATCAGCTGATGATTTTCTGGAAACAGTAAAACCTCTTATTGAACAGTTTGGATCTGAAAATATTTACAATTCAGATCAAAGTGGTTTCCAATTGGAACTTCACTCTGGAAGATCATTGTCTAACCAGGGAGAAAAGAAAGTAGAACGTGTCGTGCAATCCATATCATCAACAACCCATTCATATACGATACAACCAATAATATCCTGTAATGGCAATTTGTTGTCCCCTTTATTTATTGTATTAAAAGAAGCTAATGGTAAATTTGGACCAAGAGTACAAGAAAATTTATTTAAAGCAGAAAATGTTATTGTAAAAGCATCGAAATCTGGTAAAATGACATCAGGTATTTTCCTTTTATAATTACTTTTTTTAACAACCTTATTTTATTTAACAATTTAATAAGAGTCATAAAAAAACTATTAAATTAACATTTATATTTTGTACAGATCATTTTAAAATGTGGTTAGAAGAAGCTTATTTCGCAAACATTGGTCCTAATAGCGTTCTTCTTATCGATTCATGGACTGGACATTGCCCCAATATGATTTCGGATTTAACACCTCCTGGAACACATATTACTACTATGATAATACCGAAAGGAACTACAGGGAAAATACAACCATTAGATGTTTATGGATTCAGAATTTGGAAAAATTTTGCTAAAAGATTTTCAGATGCGGTTTTACTGTTGGAAAGTAATATAAACTTACATGAACGAAATAATATAATAAAATTGCAATCTTTGATACATAATCAATTGTCATCCCCACGATATCAAAACTTATTTAAATATTCGTGGTTTAAAAGTGGTTATACGAATGAAAGACCAGACGAATTCGAAAATCCAGTACACTTTAGTTTAGACGAAACTTTAACAAAATGTGATATCGAAGGTTGCAATAATATAGCTGTAGTAAGATGTTCTTGGTGCAAGAAGTCATTATGTTTGAAACATTTTTTTGTCGAATATCATTATTGTAATGTGTATAATGAGTGAATAATATAAAATGCAAATACATTTTTAAAAAAATCTAAATATACACAATACACAGTTATAAATACATAGAAAACATAAATAAGAATTATACAAAAACATTTTTTATATATTTTATTGTTCGACGGTAATTACTTACGCACATAGCACGGATGAGCGTATATACGGGAGCGTTTATAATTAATTTTCGAAAATGATATTTCGTAACATAACTTTATTACACATGGTTGAATTTGGAAAAAAATAAGCTTTAAATTAGGTAAAACAAAATTTTTAATTTTGAAAAAAAAAATTAGGTGGTGAGGGTTTTTTAAAAAAAAAAAAAAAAAAAAATTTTTGTTCATATAACTTTAAAGTACTCTTCAAGCCATTAAAATTTGTTGTACGTTTTTTCTTTATATCTCTTATAGTTTAGCAGATATTTGATCCTAAAGAAAAATACCGTTATTCTTTAAAGGGGTGTTTCACCCCTTAAAACTCAAATTGCGCACGTATAAAAAAATACGTGTCTTTTAGATTTGTGTATTTAACAACATATTTCAAGGAGAATCAAATCGGTTCCGGACAGTTGTGACATGTCCCTTGTTAGTAATTTTAATTACTCTAACATTAATAATTGCGATTAATTATTTGTTTAATTTTCATTTTAATATTTAAAATCAGTTATTAAGCGTTACATATTATTCGCACTGTTGGTACATTAAATATTTTCAATTATACTCACCTCCATTGTCTGGGAATGATGCAAAGCTTTAATGGCATTGATCGCGTACTGCTTACTAGCGAAGGTAACGAAGGCACAGGCTTTACTTTTTCCGGTACTGTCCCTCAGCACCGAACATTCTTCGATCATTCCGTAAGCGCTGAACATGTTCCTAACGTCATTCTCCGTGAATTTTTCGATAGCATGCCGACGAACAGCTTGCGCTCTGTAATAATAAAACACATTTTTTTTAGCGATCGTTTTAAATGCCATCGCTTTTATATTGTGTATGAAAAGCAAATAAGTATCTTTCGTTTGTATGTATCTTAATGGCTTGATAAGTACTACATAACGATATCGCCTTAAGGATAATATACAATTATTCATCTTCATGTATGTGTGCATATAATTAATCAGAGAGACGTGTCTTGCTGACTAATCATACAATCGAATGACTAAGATATATTCAGTTGTTATTAGCAAGGACATATGATACATTCTATGTGGAATTGCGTTGTAGATAAATCAAATGCATTGCTCATTCTTATCACATTTCTTACAGGTGAATAGATTAATCGATGTGGGTGGTTTTCAAGTTATGGGAATGATTCAGACAGTATAATCTTTCTTAATTAGATTCTTAATTTATCACAATAATCGGAGTTATTAATTAATCAATAAATAACGTTCGGCTCTTTAAATACGTCATCGTGTGCAGTAGAATATACGCCATATAAAAAAGATTTAAATTATTGAGTATGAGAAAATAAGTTCTTGGCATGTGCCAATCAACTCCTAATAAAATTTTAATAAACGTGTCGATCAAGCATCATCGATATTTGTTTTATGACAGGAAATTATTAAACGAACGTTCCACAGTTTAAAGGTCAACAATCGTTATCTAATATTCTCGGCCGTGAGCAATTAATCGAAAAAAAGAATGAGTCTTCTTCTTGACGTAACTTGTTCTTAAACTTTGTCGTCTCGAACCGAGGTCGCGAGTGACATCATGATTTTCCATCTCGCCCACCGTTTAATAAGCGTTTACGGATAATGCAGACGGTGGTCAAGCTATGGACCTGCGGTGCCGACCATACTGGAGGAAGCGACCTGGTCAATATTTGTTTAGGACCGGGAGAAAAGCTCTACCCAGAGGAAAGCCGCTTATGTAAATTCGGCGTCGCAGGGTATAGGCTAGGCAAAATACTCGGATGTATCTCTCGAGTTTATCCCCGTTTTCTCTCAACCCTGTCACGCATGTTCAATTCTCCGGTGAATCTTCTCGGTGTTAATGCATCGTGGTTTCTTCTGTGTGCGCAGTATAAGTAATATATACTGTTCAACCATCCAAATTTTGTCTTATATAATACTCTACGATCACGAGCGTCCGCAGGATTTTTTCCAAAGGGGAGCATAATTAAATTTTTTGTTTTTTCTGTTTTATTCTTTCTTAATTTTTATTTTTTTTTATATTAAATATGCAAATAAATTCCAGCGCGGCGTTTATTCAAAAGAAGAGCAAATGCTTAATTGTTTTTACTAATTCCAAGAGGGAGCAAATGTTTCCTGCGAATGCCCATGTCTACAAGTTTTATATTTATAATATAAAAATTCTATTATATCAGATTTTCGAATCAAGGTTTATTTATCTTGTTATTTGAGAATTTGATTACCGAAACGATACATTAACAGATTTATATGCTTTAATTAGCGGTTCTGTGTATCTATAAATAGAGCTTTGCAATTTGATATTTACATTTATAAAATTGATTTGCGATAATAACATCTCGTTTGCCGCGAGATTAATCTACACTATGAATAGTTGTTACGCGACGAAAATTAAATTAAACTTGCATCATTTTTGCGTATACGTTTTTACACAAATATATATATATATATATCTCGCATGAGTGCATTAGATCACGATTATTAGATACTCGATTAGTGACTCGCGTTATATTAATGATCAATATTTTCAGAGTATTAATAATGTGAATTAATACATTGATACCGAGTTGTGCAAACTTGCTAGCCAACAAGAGAGCTAAACATGACGAGCTTTAATATATGAAAATCATGGTTCGCTGTCAAATGTTGCAATCCAATTCGTGTGATATCAAAGGAACACGATGCTGCGTTTCAAGCTATGCGCAGCCATACTAACGCGAATTGAAATCGAGCATACGTCGATTTATAGTATGCGCAATGTATCCATAGAAGTTGATATCGAATTCATACGGTAGGATTGCGTGTGATCGTGTTTCTGGAAATCATCAAAACGCTTTATGTGCAAATAATTACGGCCCTTGTTGCTGATAAATAACACTACGGAACATTTTCATAATGTTCGTTCATAATAAAATATAATAAGAGATACTGATTATAAAATATGTTATTTTGAAATATAATAAACGCGAAATATTGTATACCATGTATACAGATAATGATAATTATATTGTTATAACGAATATTTATATTTTATAACGAATATATATTTTCATTCTGATAACGAATTTGTGTAAAATCTATAACGCTAATATTAAATGCAAATATGTAATGGCCTATTCTATAGACTCCATTCTCTCTGATAATTTTGTGTCTCTAATAATATGTATTTAGTCATACGGCAATTTTCAACCTGATTTAATCGTAATCTTTAACTTGCATAATTTCCTATATTTTTTCTCCTATTCAATTTCAATATATTTATTATTTGGAAATTCTTTGTAACAATGATCTAACTCTTTGCGTTCAACGGGTCGTATTTTGTTAAAAAAAATAATAATTATAAAAAGAAAAAATACAAGCTCGAGGACTATGGGAGTTTATTCAGAGTTGATTTGTACCGCAGATAAGAGCGGAAAGGACGAAAAGAGCGGCAGATATATCGGTCTAGACCACGGCAAACTCATCCGCAGTTAACGATTTAATTAATTTCGCAACCCCCTAGCGACCGGATACCCGCGGTTGTCGGCGACGGATAGGATTTCCCGCTGAAATCGAATGAAAATTTTAAGCTCGCGCGCCTTTTTACCTTCGCGAGAAAAATACGAGGTAAAAAGGCAGCCGGCTGAGAGCGGAAGACAAATTCCCCTTCCTTTTCCGTTTCCCTCGCGTTCCAGCGAAACTGCGGCCTTTACGGAATGTTTATTAAATACCGAAGGTGCTGGTTTGTACCCTTCCTCTTCCTTCTAAACGGACCGAAATTTTCCGTCCGTTGCGACCGAGCGGGACGGGTATTATCCGCATGCGGAGGCCAACGTATCGAATATCCCTGGGGATCGATTAGAGGTGGAGTCGTGGTCGGCTAGGAAATAAGGAGGGTGGACGCGAATTGTCTTGATGTCGTCGATTTAATTCACACACGGGAATAATGTATGATTGACAGAAAAGGGAAAATTGAATGATTCGTCAAATAGAAATTAATTTCAAACATTGCGAAATGTTAGTTTTTTTTTTTTTTTTTTTCATTCGATTTTCCTTATTTTTTACAATTACTTGGTGTTTCTTGTTATTTGCGCATAAGAGAAAATTTATAAATTTTATTTTTCTCACACACAATAAAAGAGATATCATGTAATATTTTTTTTTAATTTAATAATGTCTTTTCACAATTTAAAGAATTTTTAAAAATAAGAATAGTATTGCAATATATTTTATTCCATATTGAAATCATCACCGCTGTTAGATTAAGCAGTGTATATTCAGTTCATTTTATATATATTTATATATTATTAATAATAGATAATATCTCCTTTACGTTGTGCGATATATATCATCAGGCATCGGGATAACATCGAGCTCATTATAAATCACATTTAGACGGGAGGCTATATTAACGCGGAAATAAAACAAGAGCACGATACAGAGGCACTGACCTCTGTAACTGCATTTGTAATGTAATTCACGTGCAAACTAGATACGACGCGGCGTCGGATCATGGAGTCGGATATGAGATGCAGATCGCGCCTGCCGGAATGTTTGCATCGCACCGAATATTCCGTTAGGACGTCTGCGGCACGTCGTCGCAGGATACGTGCATCAAAGTATTGCGCATACTCTATCGATCGAGCTTTATAAGGTCGGTTTGCATAAACGAATGACAATGTACAAAAGTTACCGTAAATTGCAAGTGCGATGCACAACTCTTCATGAGACTCATATCTTGTAGAATGGCTCATAGTTAATTGTTTTGATATTATAATACAATTGTTAATTAGAATTTTGACAGACTCCACGCACATGTATGGTTTTATATATAAAAAATTAACTATTTAAAATATTTTTTAATTTTAGTTTTAAATTGATTTTATTTGAATTTTTTCTGTAATGAAATTATAAGTAGAGAGTAATTTTATATTATTCATCCAAAATAATTTAATAAAAAAATCGAGTAAAAAAAAATAAAAATATGCTAATATCTTTACAAATATGTAATGTAATAAGAATATTGTGCTAGTCGTATATGAGATAAACTTGGCTCTATTAAAGTGCATTAGAGAGAATTAATATCAAAACAATTTGGTATTAACTCCTGTCAGCCGCAACGTGGTGAAAACTAATTTTTGGTTGCATTCCGTAAGGTCAGTAGGTGTTGATAACAATTTGCACTTTCTTTCGCAAAGCGTTTATACGATACAAACAGGTGTTTAGCTTCCACAAACAAAACGTTCGTAGCCAGTCGGTGGCCAATGCGGTTGTTTCTGTCCGATTCGATCTCCTTTTGTACCTCGCGAACCTATTTACACTCCTGTGCAATTAAATCGCAGTTTGCGAACGTGATAAGTTTTTCAATGGATGTCCTAAGCATTTCGAATTGATCCTCGCGCTTGGAAACGCAAACAGCGGTTTCGTATCTTTAGTCTTCTCCCATCATTTTTTACTCGATTTCGCTTCTTCGTGGCGCGATCTAATCGAGCGCGAGAAATGGCGAATGAACCACTTACAGGCTGGAGAAGGAAATCAGCGCGATAGGATCGTGCATGCAAATGCAAACAAGCACCGGAATTTCACTGAGAAGCATTTCGATGCGCCTTTCCGAGAATCTTTCTTCTGATACGCATCGCCGGAAGCGCAACTCTTTGATTCCAAAGTTCGATTTCTAAGTTCGTTATCTCGTTTATCGAAGATCCTTCCGTCTAAGTGAAATTTCGTAATCGAGAAAAGTTACAAAAGCGAAAACGGAGTCGTCAAATAATTCCCACAACTATTTCCCGAATATTTTTG